TTTGTTTTCAGAGAGAGCCAAAGTACGCTTAAGATGACAGAAGGCTGATTGTCTTTGAACTTTGCATTTTAGAAAATTGCAAAAGTTTAAAAGTTTTCGGTGTCTTCCTACAATAATTATATTAAAAATAGAGAGATTTTTTCTCAATTTTATCTGTCGTACATTAGACCTTTAAACCACGTCTTGTACAACGTTTTTTTTAAAATATGAGTAATATTTGCGTAATTTTGGTTGAAGTAAAGGCATATTTAAAAACAAGATTGTCTTAATAAGTATTCCAAATTATTGGTTATTTTTTCTCTTATTGTGCGAAGTCTGCTTAAAAAATGGTGCAGGTCCAATTTCCGATGAACTCTCTGAATATTTGAAAAGTGCGAAAGGTATAATGATGTGAGAAAGTATGTGTGTTGGAGCATCACTAATTTTAATCTTGTCGCGTTCAGTGTGATAGTGATTAATTGTGTGAAGTATCCTGTCTGTAATCAGTATCAAAAAGTGTGGGAAGTTATACTTTTGCGCTAGAGCACTGAATCTGGAAGGGCACGTGCATCACGCGTCCCGAGAACGACAGCCCCAGCGAACAGATATTTGACAAAATTGAAGCCGATGTTGCCACACTCAATTTAATAAGACAAAAAGAAAGCAAATACTGGCCAGTTATTAATCAACACCGGCAATGTGGTTGCAAAAGTTTGTGCAATGAGGTTGTGATCCTCTCGTTACTAAAGCACGTTCCGCCACTGAGTATATCGTCAAAACTAACGTATTTGGTACAATCGTTATTTTATAATGTAACAACATTTGCTCATTATTCGTGGTACTGATGAAATATATCACAGCATGGATTCGCGGATTCTTTTTACAAAATGGTATGGGGTATTAATTTCCACCTTTCCCAATTTAATTGGATCCAGCTCATATGATCTCGTAATACTTAAGAAGCTCTCAGCGTTGAAAAAACTGGTAGATTCCTACAGAGGATTATAAATCCTCTTTTTCCGTATAAAATTATTTTTCAATTCTGAGTGAATCATTTAATGAATATTTAGTTTTTAGAGACACGTCGGCAACTTAGGTCATTGGTTCCGTGAGTGTAGTGCATGCTATATCCCGGAAGCTGACTGCGCGGTGCTATGCTCGCCCTCCCTCGGTGGAACGTGAGATCCCACATGTCGTCTTGCGGTTTTCCCTTTCCAAGTATCTCCACCAGCGGGAACAATCTCTAAGCTTCCGACTGGCCTCGGGGCACGTGCGGTGGACTAGCACAACGGCGTCGCCCACCGCTATTGCAGTAATCAGAACCAAATAGTTTCATCTTCATTGGTTTGAAAAAAAAAATACGAAATATGACTGATATTCTATGCACTTTTTGTATGTTCGCCCTCCGCAGGGATGATCCTTTCCCCACCCCCCTTCGGGGAGCCCTCGCGCACTTAACAAACGACAGACCCCGCCCGCCGGCCATTCGCCACGCGCCCGCGCAAGGAATCTCAGAGGAATCCTCCGGAAATCCCAGAGGCATTGTATATCGCTCGCCCGCCGCCGGCTGCCGATCACGGCGCCGAAGAGTTAGGTTTCGGAAACAAAGCCGCCTCAACACGTATTCGGGCAGCTGCAGGCGATGCTGAGAGGAGAGAGATAGAGATAGAAATAGAGATAGAGATAGAGAG